TTTATCCGTATAAATCTATAGGTTTTATGCTACCGTTAACTTTAATGATATCAACCAGTAAACAAGAAAATATTTTATATAGAGTGGAAATTTTTATACAAGCTGGTATTATTTAAGATATAATTAACAAAATTGAATTTCCATAGAAAATTGCTTAACCCACCAAGTATTGTATAAAATACTATAATTTGCATATTCATTATTTCTTTGGAAAGTTTCATTAATAATTTAATATGGACCGATGAATAGGAGATTACGTTTCTTTTCAGTCAACCTTAAGACTAAACTATTCTCACGAAACGAATTAAGATTCTTAACACCTCAATGTTAAGCGACGTCTCTGGCACTTCATTGTAGATTTTGGCATGGGAATCGCAAGGGGCGCCAGAGACGTTATTTGACGTCAAGAAATGAAACGAGCAACAGGCGCTCGAATTATCCATAATAATCTAATGAATAGTTTCTTCTGAGGACTTGGTTGTTGCTTTGAAATATTTTTGGTCACGTGTATAATATTAAAACCTCTACGAAAATATCGATCTCACTCTCGCATATTTTTCAATCATTCGCGCTAAACATTTTATACTCGCGTCTTAAAATAGTCTAAAATGACAGCAAATTACACGTTATTAATATATTTAGCGTGCTAATTTTGCTCCGAGAGATTCCATTAAATATTATAATAGACACCTACAACATTGTTCTTAAAGTTAGCATCGGACCAATGTTGGAACAACGCAAACGAACGAACGTCTTTCGACAGACTGATTTCACAAACGTTCATGCAGACACGTTCGTCTTGGCAGCGCAGTCTGACAGCCAACAAAATAAGATCACGAAATCGTGTAACCTGAGCTAGCTCGCGCGAGTAATCAAGAAAAGAATCGTTGCTGTCTGTCACGGAATGTCACCATTTTTTCCACCCTCGGTCGTTCCACCCTCTCACCTAGGTTGCCCGTGCGTAAGCCAGGTCGTTGATCTTCGCTCGAGGAAGTGTGCACGCGGCCTTCGCGTCCTTGACAGTGGGACGCGCGAGCGCGTCCAGTCGCTGAGGGCAGCCTGAGGAATTTTTGCTTTCTGTCAGCTTCCTTTGTCGGCAGTTTTAACCCCCGTGGTTCTTCACTATGCATTTGCACGCGTGCAAAAGACTATCGTGAATGAATCATTTTTGCGGGCCAGGGAATTCGACGAGGATCGGACGAGGGAGGCTTGTCGAAGCGTTCACGAGTGAAGATCGACCTGGCGATCAAAGTTCACTGCACGGGATTTTGGTTAGTGGTGCAAGAGATGGATTTCGGGTTGTATTAGGTCGTAACGTATAGGATCTTCGATTTATTTAGTTAAAGTAAATAGTTTTCTAATCATTTTTATTGTACGACGAACAATTTTATTTAACACAGATACGTATTCCTTTAGAAGGACAATTACAAGATAGTTCTTGCAATAACAAATTGGCAATTTGTGGCAATAATGTTTGATGATTTTTTATATCATGTGAGACACAAACGAATAATAAACAACGATGCAGAAATTTAATCGTAAATTTAAATCCTGAATAAATAATATCGACACATTTTGATCAGTGAAAATATTCTTATTTCGGTGAAACTCCTCCTTTTTTACATAATGTATCTCGCGATATTGCATGCCCAATGTGCATCCTAAGATACAACATTTGAATATCGGAAAAATATTAAAAGTAGAATATTTTATGGTAAATAATGTAAAAATGGAAATTTCCATCATAAGAATCGAGTGTGTCCGATTACTGGAGATATTAAAAAGTGTTTGGAAATTCAGGAATTATATTAAACCTAAAAAAGTGAAGGCCACATTTGAAAAGAGTGTCTAAGCTAAATTTCATTTTACTCTTAAATACACATAAAAATACATGCATATTAGGTAAATATACTAAATTTAATATCTAAATATACATCTGCACACTATCTAAATAAACCACAAGTTTCTCACTTTGTCTAGTTTAATAACCAGGAAAGCCTCCTCGTTGACGCTCGATAAATCATTTTAAGTTATATTTCAGCTCCTCCAGATTCACGAGGCATCCGAGCACTTAAGATAAAGTGGACGTTCGATCAATACGGATCGGTTATCGTTGCTTTGCTTAAACCATCAACCATCACGCTAGTCAACCCCTTGACGAAGGTTATTAAGTTTAAAGTTTGATCGGCCGTCTCAACGAGGAATTATGGAAATTATAAAACAAGTCCTCCTCTTCGCCAACAATTTTCCACGGTTTCAATGGAACTCACGAACGTTTAAAACACGTCAGAAGCATGCATTGGTTTGAACATGTTGCAAAAGAGACATTCGACGAAGTGTTTACAGTGTCGGCGACATCCAATCTACCTGCTGAACGTTTGTACGTACGGTCTAACCCTCTGCAAGCTGAGACTTTGGCATCGTCAACAGAACAGCCCTTTCATTTCGTCAGGATACGATACAAAGACTTGCGTTTGATTTGTTTGGCTTTTACACATTACCGGTATCGCACGGTTAATTCTTTGCGAATCCGGGAAACGATTTAATTGCCGAATGCTGAGAGATTTGCAGGATTATCGTAAGCCCCGTTTTACTCGATCAGGTTTCAATGCGATTTAGCGTTAGCTGTGTTGATAGTTTTGTTAATACTGGAGATTATACAGAATATATGTATAAGGATTTAGTAGAGCGATTAGTTCAGGATGGATTAGGAATTTGTACTTCTCAGTATAAAGAATTACTTCTACTTTTTTTTTTTAAACACCATTGTGTATCTATGGTTGTAAGAAAAACGTTATATTTTTCCAAGTCATGGAAACGTATGCGCAAAATATGCGATTCCATCTAAATAAATAGGAATTTGATACTTCGAACAACCTCGTTTGATGGACAAACAGTAATATCTCACTATATCTTCTTGTAATAATTAAAATTTGTTCAGTTTTGTAACAAATACAATAAATCATGCTGGGAGTTTTCAAAGGAGTTTGAACTTGTTTCTTTCTGTTCTTTAATATCTGTTGCACTTGTTTCAGAATTTATATAATTATTCTTCTTTTGTACTATAGCCCAAAAACCTAGATTCTCTTTCAAATTTTTAATGCTCAGAACCTCGTTCGTTATATGTATGTCGGAGATGAAAGGACATCGGGGCTTCCCTTTTGGAATTTTGGGAAAAGTCCCAATACCCTAGTGCAGACTTTTACTATAGCTACGCTTAAGTAATAAAACTAAGAAATAGTTTTAATGTTCTAATCCGATTTTATCACGATGGGCTTGGGCTCGAAGTGACATAACGGGTCACTGAACGTAGCCACGGTCACGAGAGGGACTTGACAGAGGTACCTGACAGAGGTATGGAATAATTATATAGCTCTCCTTAAAAACAAGGAGAGGTTCCACTTGGACTGCAGGTCAGTTCATGCAGATAAGTTTGACTTGTACATGGAGTCATACGTGTATCACATCGCATTCGTCATCCCGTTGACCGTGGATTCGTTATCGAATCTGAATTCGTTGTCATCAACATGTTCTTATAGCCTTTTGTAGTGGCCACATTTGTACCAATAAATATCAGCTACAATCGCGATGGTAAATTTGAGCGAAGGTTCATCAAACGCCCAAAATTCCAACCTTAACCCGACATGTAATTATAAATATTCGTAGGAAATTCTAGTTTGCCATAAATTACTCGAGCAATTTGTGAAAATTTATAGTATTCGAGGCATGAATACCGCGTAACAATGTTGGGAAGTTAAAAAGCAACAGCAATTACAGCGGGCTAAATCACTGAGCGGACTTGCAAACCGGCAGACGTTAATTTCCACTTGACTCTCGAACTCGGCTCTAATTAAATCCACTTTAAACTCGAATCGTTTCGTCGTCGCTACAATTAGAAGTCACTCGAAGGTGTGCGGGGGTGGTCAACCTCCTTTCCGGAAGACTCGATTGCAAAGCATTCGCGAATTTCGAGGCCAAACTTCGTTAGCTTGCCGTTTCCAACGGGGAAGCAAATCAGGGCAAACAGAGAAATTCCCGTTCCCGCTCTCCTCTCTCGTGAAGAAACACACGCTGAAAGTTTTTTCCTGCCTTCCAGGCGTAGTCCATGATTTAGCGAATTTGGAAATAATTTTTTCTCCGATAGAATATACAGATATTTTGTAGATATATACGTATTGTCACGACGAGTCAAAGAATTCTGAAAATCAAAACATTTGTACTACACATTGATCGAATGAAAAATTGCTATCATTTCAGAATTGTTCTGTTAGAAGGAGCGTTTCATGTAAAACAAGACATCCGATTATTTATCATATTGTGCATTCGTACTTGTTATTTTTATCATACGTTTTCGTACGTTTCTTGCGTAGGAATATCAGTACAAAGAAAGAAACGATATTAGAAAAGCGTTCTCGTTGTATTGAAATTATCGATACCAACGTATCTGTAAAATGCAGAAAATGAATCAAAAAATGCCAGAACCTTTCGTTGATTTAATATTTGCCAAGAAATAGAGGGAGTTTACGAAAAGTTTGAATCCATTCAGGGTACTCGCGTAGAGAATGTTCTGTATATAACAGTAACATTTTTTTTTATTTATTTATTTATTAAAATTACAATCAATTCTCGCGTTGAGAATTTTCAGTAATTTTTCTGGCGTGGCGCAGTGGCATGGCTGATTATTTATAATAAGTTAATACTTAACAGTAACATAAAATATCAAAAGATCAATAAAAAAATACAAATACTTTTCGTAAGTTCAATATTTGCCAGGAACCAGAGAGTAAGAGAGAGAGAGAAAAAGAGACGAAAAGAGGAAGACAGGAAAGACTCATCTCCTTCCACGTAAATCACATACAATACACCTTTATCCACTTCAATACGCGGCTGAACGGTTCAAGCACCTTCTGGACGATTCAACGATTCGAAGGGGCTGGTTGCTCGAAGCGGCTGATCAATCGTCTCGTAAATCGAAAGATTCCGTTCTTTTTTATTCGTAGGGTGCCTTCGACGTTGAAAATTTGCGGACAGGATGGCAGGATCGAGCCGGGAACCTCGGCCAGGCCCTAAACGACAATCTTCATCCCTCGTAAGTCGTCGCAACAGACGAAGCTGGTCTTCGTTCGATTAAAGGGCTGCTTCGAACGACGAAGGGAGAAAGAGAGAGGAGGGGTGGTGGTTAGGTTGGCGTCGCGATCGAGATGAGCGATCTACAGGCCACTCTCGAGTTCTCCCTCGAGCTCTGCAAGTTCTACAATGTCGACCTGTTCCAGCGTGGGTAAGCGGATTCTCCAGCCATCCTCGTGGACGGAATGTGTGCGCGACGGCTGGCTTGCGTAATTTGCAACGGCTTACCTATCGCCATCGCCTCTAAGCTTATCGACGATTTCCAATTTCCCAGGTATTACCAGATACGAACTGCCCTCAGAGTGTCGCCCAAACTGCCTGTCAAGGTGGAGGTTAACCAGTTACGCAACCGTGAGTACTTCTTTTGAATTTCAGTGATTCCTCACGAATTTTCGATAGCGTTGCAGATTCGGATAGGCTTAGGTTTAAAATACTACAAATCAGTGTGTAAATGTTTATGAAAAATAAGTTTTCCTAAACTTCTTCCATTATCGTTTGTTCGTTTTAAATGTAGTAGACGGTAGAATCGCGTTTGTACGAACAAGTTAATGCTCAGGCCCTATCATCCTAAGTACGATCGAAGGTAATTTCGTGTTACGTCCGGTGACTCTTTACGTAAACCAGGATCCATTCCTCGGTCGAAGCGGCTACTGGCTATGCAAATATAATTAGCCGGATCGCACTAATCCTAAGGAACTGTCATAAAACTAAGCATTTGTATCTTACCGTTAGAGCCCTTAATTGTTATAAAATATATTCAAGTGGAGACGTTCTTTATGATTATTGCTCCATCAGGTAAGAAATGAGAAGGTCGGGTTTTTCTCATGATGGTGGTGCCACCAACACCCAGCAATAGTTTTGCCTCTGCGACAGCATCGTAACCGAACTTCACTGGTTTATCTGCCTTAGATCAGTCAACATCTTTTGACTGGTTTTTCATCCGTTGATCAATCAATGTCTTGACTGGTTTTCGTTCATCGATCAGTCATCGATTGTAACTTACTATTTACACGTCTTTCAGAATACGTCTATACGCACGACGCGTATCTCTTTATATTCACAAAGTTGTTGGAATAAAGTATATATTATAACCTGTTATTTCGATGTTATAATCAATCAACCACCTCTATTATTCTAAATGAAATAGGGGGTTGACCAATTCGTGGCATCGATTATCGAATCGTAACGAGAATTTACCACTCTCGTTGACGCGATCTACCGCGAACAATCGAATATTTCGTAATATAAAAGCATAAACACTGACTCCCATAAGGAATATATTAATATAAGCGATTATTTGTTTTTGCTCGAAATAAGTATTTAAATTCTAATATAATTGAACTAATATAATTGAAACGAAAGAAGCTGTCCTTCGTCCTGTTCGGACAAACGAGATTCTACCGCACAGCAGAATTCTATTTATCAGAACGAAATTTTAGTTAATACCCGATTAATTGAATTCACTCATCTGAATATGAGCTGCTATCGTGTGAGCAAACAATAGTAGATAGTGAGAATAATGGGCGAGGTTTCCCAACAAGATCGGATAAATGGAATTTTTTGTCGTACTTAAAACGTGACCGAATACTTCAATAACAAGCTCTATATAACACTAGAACAACATTTCATTCGAATAATCGTCAACTGTGACATCCACGCGCTTCGTTAACGTCACCCACGCATCCATATCCTCTAACCAAACTAACAATCTCCTGGCCATCTTTCTTTCTACTTGAAAGAACGAAAGAAAAGAAGCAAATGGTAACCGAGTTTCCAGAAATTACCAGCCCTTTGCGACAACGCGTGTCCGGCGAATCAAAGAACTTTCCCCGTGGAGGCAGAAACTTCTGTGGCACCGATGGCGGTAGAAAACTCGCTCGAGTTCACCCCGTCGAGTTAGACAACGGCTGCGACTAGAATTTCCAACTAGTTCAAACCTAGCTTGCACTCGATAGCGTTAGAAAGTTCCCTGAATCGCTTGTATCGCGTTGCCACCCTTCATTGTGCATCGAAACTCGAGCTTCTCTCTTCTATCTCGTGAAAACGAATGAAAGAAAGAAAACCACGAGACGTTCAACGTGAAACGAGCGTCTCTCAAGTCTGACAGGCAATCGGAATTTCGATTTGGAAAATCAGACGCGCGGTCATACACTGAACCAGATTTAAACGATCTGTTATAAAACGTTCCAACGTTAAATAGTGAAAGACTACTTTTTAATCGACGAGTATTTTAATCCTCGAATAATATCGTTAGGTTACAAATAACAGTAACGTATGTCCGATTACTGAAATTTAGGGTATTGAATTTTATTTTGTATTTTATATGCTCCACGATGGAGATGAAATTGAATTAGAAATTCGAAAATTGAGCGATCCAGGTGAAAATTACTACGGTGCCCAATAAGCCCAACGGTACCATGAACGCAGAGTATTTAATTTGATTTTGTATTTTACATTCTCCGCAACAGAGGCGAGTAAAAATAAAATTAAATTAAAAGTTCAACCCTAAATTTTGACTGCTCCCACTAGTCCAATGATACCATGAAAGTTAAGAATTGCAAATACGTAAGTACTTTGCGGTACTTTATCCGATGTGTAGATGCAGAAGAAACTTCAACCGTACGATCATTGTTCTAGACTCGTTGGAGGCGCCTGGGACCAGCAAGCGCTTTCAGATCCTCTACAGAAACGAAGAGGTGACACTCGGCACCTCGGTCTTATTCCGAGCTCACGTGCTGGTGCACAGTCACAAGATCGAGGAGGTTCTCTCCCGCACCCACTTCAATCTCGGCGTCGAGCTATGGTTCAGCGAGCCGACGCAACCAGGAAACATGGCCTGCGTGTCGTCTAGGTAAGATAATCGTCTTGGTGTATCTCGAAACGTACTATCATCTCGCTGTACCACTGTCATTTGGTAGACGGTAGTGATATGTTCGCCGACCGCGACGATCGTTTGAACGTCGCTCGCGAAAAGAAACGATATTGCGGTTTCGTAGGATTGCTACATGCGACTTGCTATACGAGAATCGTGAGAGTCTGATGTTTGTAACGTAACGAAGACAGCGAAGAGAAGGAGTAGTTACGTTTGAAGTTGATTTGTAGACTCTTAAGCTGCGTCTACGCTATATACTAAGATATATTATACGTATAGCGAAGTTGTATAACACGTTAAAGAAACCAAAAGAAAAATCTTATGTAATAACGCTATGCGTATATACAAAGTATTTTAAAAATAGGTGATTAATTTTTGGTATCGTGCTCTATTCATTTGAAGCACAAAGGGATGTGATATGAACGCTTAAGTTTAAAGATATTTCTTTTTCAAGATATAAATACTTAATTACAGGAATATCTGTCACACGTAGATGACGAGCATTGTTAACATTTTGTATTTACAAGAATAAAATGTAAAATGTTGGTAATATTAATTAATTACATTTTCTTCGTGTGCACCCTGCACCGAGACAATGCATTTGAAACACCAAGTCACGCTAATTAAACGTAAGTCACAACCGTAAACTTGTCATGACCATTATTATAATGAAATCTAATTTCGTTTTGGTCTCTGAGAAGCCATATTGGTCAGCATTATTTTCTTCATTCCACTGCTAGAATACGTATGATTAGAATATTAAATTACATTTATGTATAGGAACAAGCATAGAAATTACGAATATCCTATATGTTTTGAGACAAATGTTCAAATTAATGAATTTACGTTAAACTAATAAATAATAAATAAATATAATAAATAATAAATAAACAATAAATTTGACGAAGACCAGTCTTTGTGAGAAAGAAAGTAATAAAGACCAAAAGAGCATTTCCCATATGTTTCCCAGAAAGCGACAGAAATTCTTCTAAAAAAATTGAACATTTAATTACAGGAAATTTTGTAATTCGAAGTAGGCAGTTGTTAAAATCACATTACAATTTCCGTAACATGGTTTGAATATAATGCACGAGGAAAAGACGTAATGCTTAGTTGTTGAAGGAACACCGACCTCTACAACTTCCATAAATTTCTTCCGCCCATTATGCCTAGGCAAAAGTACACGACAAGAAAGCAGAACTTCCCCACAGACCTAATAGATGGAGAGATCGATAACCTTGGCCGCGTACGCTTTCATGTTCTACCTTGAAGGTTTGACGAGCTTCGTTTGCTTTTTGCTTTGTAGGGCGTTGCAGCTGAACTTCGCGCCCACGAAGGGGCTTCACTATCATTTGCCGGTGCTCTTCGACTACTTTCATCTTGCCGCCGTCTCCATCACGATTCATGCCTGCCTCGTGGCCCTTCATCAACCTTACATCAAGTCGGTAACAAGTTGAATATTTTCTCTTTTCATATTCCTTTCTCATAATATGATTACAAAATATTTTTATTTGCGTACGTACACGATTGTTAACGATGGAAATTTCTCTTTTCTGCTCACGAACGCTGATTTCGTTGTACCGTGTTGCACGTAGGAAGAGCATACTTCATTATGTCCAGAGCTGGTAAGTTTGAAATTTCGTGTTTCTTTTATTTTTTTACAATGAAACTGACAAATTTATGGACACAGTACTTTTAAGGAGAACAACGATTTTTCTTCGAGTTTTCTCTCTTTTGATCAAGTTCATTTCTTTTTATTTTCAATTGTCTACTTTGCTGATTTCTGATGTTTTAAGATTAATAAATATTGGACATTAACCGAGGAAGGAGAAAAGTTATTAATTATTGAAGAATATATTGTTAAACGAGCTTTGATTATTACTTTTATATATTGTTTATTTTACATTGTTTAAATTGTCTATTATATTTGAAATATTTACATGTTATATTTATATATAAATGTTTATGCTTTTAAGTTAATTTTATGTTTTACATATGTTTATATATTGTAACGTGGTTATTTCATATTACAAAGCCAATTAGTGGCTACAAGAAAGGAATTTTTAAAATGGTGTTTTCTTTGCTCATTAAATTGCACGAGAGACTGTAACAGGGAGACCTTTTTGTACTCGAATTGAACGTATACTGTAATAAAGTATCAAAGGAATATTATTTCTGAATTAATTAGTTCTTTGAGTACAGAATCCTTTTTAATGACTGTGGGAAAAATATTCTTATGAATTATTCCACACACATGTTCCCAGTATTATTATAGTGGAAACATTCTTTTTTTTCAGATTTTTATGGAAAAGCACATCTATCGTTTAATTAGCTAATAATTTATAGTCGAAGATTAAAGACTATGAAATATCAAATATCCTATTATGACTATTAATAAAATAATTTATTATACCCGGAATAATAGCAGAAGAATAATAAAATAATAACAAAATAGTGATAGAATAATAGCGAACTATCGTAATTTTAAATTTCAAAATTTCATATCAAATTCCAAGTGACCAAATTGTGAGAACAATAAAAATCCACACAGTGAAAAATTAAATGCATAACCAATTCACGAATTTAAATTAAATCATGTCCGACCTCCTAATCGTTTCAATCAAAAAATTGTATTCCGTTCGTAGTGACAATGCGAGTTCGATTGCGTTTTAATTTAACAACGCGACAGGGTAATTAACCGAGTAATATGCTTGCAGCGCGCCGCGTGGAGGGAAACCGTGGCTACAATTTAAACAGACTGCAACAAACGGGGACAACAATGCTCAGTTAGGAAATATCGTGAGTTCATGCACGAGTTTCATTAAAATTTTTAATTGATAGTTTAGCTGCTACAGAAAGAAAGGTGAAAAGAACGCTTGCAACAAGATATTCGTAACTATCGCAGGAAACAACAACGAGGTGCGTTGGTTCAGCCACGAGGATACAACACGCGAAATTAGTTCAACAGGAAGTAATCAGGTTACTTCTGGCCGCGAGGGAATCTTTGCTCAACAACTTAGCTGATTTAGCCCGTCTGCTACCTTCTTGCCAGCAAAGAGCGCTCGAGCTTGCTCAGAACACGCACAAAGAGATTACCAAGGTCGGTACTGCTTCTCAGGTTTTCTTACAAAATTCTTTGTTCTACGCATGTAAATTATTCCAAGTCGCTTTTGACAAAATTCGACTTTTATTTATGGAACATAGAGTTAGTCAGCGAAACTATTTCAATTACTTGCTACACTTAAATCGCGGATCTTTGTGCTTTATATCTTTATGAATAGAACTAAGATACTAGGTAAATAACAATGTTGATATTATCTAAGGTAATATAAATAACTTATATATGATAAATTATATAAATAACGAACTGAAAGACACCAAATTAACTTACACATGTAATATTTTTCTTTTTGTTTTCTGTGACTTCTCTGTGGAAGATAGTGGTTGTGCTGTAGTTACAGATGATGGACACGGAGGAGACTGATGTCGCTCAACTCTGCGCACAAAATATCGTTCTCTGGCAACATTTTCTGGAAGCATTCTCCGGACGCGAGGCTGTTCATCAGCATCTTGCGAAGATCCATCATCAGCTAAGGGTAAAACGCTCGTTTTATTGTCTTAACATTCCCTGTAGCTTCTAGGTGTTCTCTTTTAGATTAATTACTTTATTTCAAAGACACGAGACAAGTACATCATAGAATTACGACGAACGAATTTGTGGCCTTTTACGATCCAACGATATCAATTAATTAAACGAAACTTCGTTTCAAATATTTTAAGAAAGTACCACTTTATTTAAATTAACATCTTTGGTCGAAAATTCATAGGTGAAACGTTTTACGGAAGGTTTCTTCGTGCTAGAAAACCCTAGGTCATCCGCATGGGGCTGTTACGATGCGAACTACCAGTCGTATCAAGCGGTGAGCGAAGCGGCAAGAAGATCGCGATATCTGTCCTCGTTGCCTCCGCTCCCAGTGCACTGTCCGGAATTGGACGGAGATCTTCACTCTCTGCCTTTGATCTTCGAGGATCAGTACGTGGATATGAAGCAGAGGCACAGAAACAGCGGCAAGTATCACTTTGATGAAAAGAATGAACGCGATATAGCCTCATATCACGAGTGATCGATCTTTTTGTACGATGATTATAACACAGGATCAAAACATTGTTATCGTTGATCAAGCTTTTTTATTAATTTAATTGCACCAACAACCGTTGTATATGTATATCACCAAGATATTCTCTATTCGTACAAATATTATCAAGCAAAATTGTCACAAGACATAGGGATTGCTACCCCTAAAGCATCCCCTATCTTTTTCAAAAATTAATCAAACAACAAATGCTCGTTCCAGTTCCCGGCATCGACGACTGCAGTTGCGGCATAGCAGCAATCCTAGAGTCGCGATCCATGGGAATCTGGTCACCAAGGAGCGAAGGCGCGGCTCAGGATATCGGTTCGGTCCAAGGTCGTCTGATGCTCACTCCATCCACGCTTCCTGCCAGGCACAGCAAATCTTTGGACCAACTAGGTCCAGACATCGCTCCCGTTCAACCAAGGACATCGCCAAAGACGCTTCCTCGATCCGTGTCCACGCAGCTGTTTCCAAGACAGAGAAGCGGGGCGCGAAACGTTACTCCACCAGCGACAGTTCCTTCAAGAGGAAGGCAAAGGTCGACAGCGCCGTCCAGTAGCACGCTTTTCCCTCCTTCGGGGCAGCAAGCCTGCTCCGCTCCAAACCCATCCCTAGGATCGACACCCGTCATCCCGTTGCCTCGCGCCAAGTCTACGCAAATGTTGGTGTTGCCCAGACAACAAAATGATCCGCAGAACACATCGATAACGTCGCTCCTCGCAGCTATGTTTCCTGAATTACCGCCAGGAGGACAGTTACCTGGGTACAGACCGTCGAACAAGTCCTGCGAACAAACTCTTACGGTACCCACCTGTCTGGGAACGATGGACCATGCTCAGATGACAGATTGTTGGAGCGAGAATAAGGCTCCTAATATTAATGAAGGTAGGATTGTGTTCTTTCGTGGAGGAGGATTCTTTGACTCTTTGACAGCAAAGTTTATGAAGAAGAGAGTTTATGAAAGATTGATCGACATAGATCAGTTTAGGGAAAGAAGAAATTGCACTTATATCTGGGTGTATTAGTTTCTTTATCTGATATCTTCTTTTTCTGATATGTGTAATGCTAGCAGAAGAGTAAATATCAAACTAAAACATCAAATCTTTATGATTCTCACATAAATATTCACATAAATCATCTTGAATAATTCCATTAAGATTTATTTATTTAATATTTAATATTTCAATCGATATTAATGTCATTCTATACATTCCATTTGTTTCTCGATAATGTATCATATAATTTATGGTTGTCATATTATAATGTATGGCAAGATTATACCAAATGAAACATTAAGCCATTTTACATAACATATTCATTCCACTGCCTACCAAGAAGCTCATGAATACATTATCTATCATTACTCACAACATAAAAAACCAAGTACATATTATTGAAATGACATTCGAATATTAACATTCACGTGTTTGTATTTGCAATAGACGATACAAGTACATATCTTTTTATCGAAAATATTGAAATGCGAGTGATTTGGTATGTTTTTGGAGAACTTTTATTTTACAGAACTGGTGATAAAATATTCTTGATTCAGTGAAGTAATTCTGTATAATATTACGGAGTAGCTACTTCGTAATGAATCCGCTCATTCGCTAGTACGGTACATTCTGTACAACTCTCCATATTCCCTACATTGTCCCTGGAACACTCCCTTTGAACTTGCGGAAAAAACACTCGCTCTGAACTCTCATTCGCTATACGCGGTTCACCCTTAAGAGAACTCACCCCTACGTGTGCACACGTACACAACCGTACACTCATACTCATCGCACAACTTTTACGTAGCGTGCATTTTTGAAATTTTTATTTTTTACGGCTCATACTCCGCTTAACAGCTCTTTCTTCTCTGTATTACTCACTCAATAAAGTTTATGACACCCTTTAGAAAACACCTCTATGTTAATATTCTACGTTCTCTAGTACCTGCAATCAACAAGGTTTTCCTCTTTCAGAGTATTTATATCGTTTATATTATAGAAAATATATTATGTATTCAGGAAATATTAAATATTGATATGAAATATTAAAATATTACATTTAGTTTATTTACACTATCTATGTTATTATAAAGCTAACTTACAAAACTTTCTAACAATCCACCAAATCCTAGCACATCCAATCATAAGTTCTTATTTGTCTTTATCTATTTCAGTAATGGTTAAAACGTTATTAACTGCTTATTGAATTTTTATTCGTTTTAATTTTACTAAGCGTTAAATTGATCAAATCGGTAACTATTGCTCTATAGATTACCATTCTCTGGATACAAGAAGGATTCGACTAGAGCCACGCAGTCACCGATTACCAACGCGTCACCCACTGTCGACCGCCAACGACCAAAACAACTTTCTACCAACAAAAGCGAGCGTCAATGGCGACACGTTTCTCCCAGAACAACAGCCGCTTCACACAGCCACACTCGACAGAGTGACCTATCGAGGAAATTCCCGTAAACAAACGCATCAAACGGGTGGCAAGTACAGTCAAACGAATGGTCTAGAATCTCGCAGGTATCACACAATTGGTAAAACTGGGTCCGGGTTAAATCAGCGAAATCGAGAGGTTCAGGATTCAATGAATGGCGGAGGGTTGCCCAGCAGTCATTCGATGATGGCTGATCCTTTGTATAAAAGATCCAATTACACGTCGACAACTACGGACTCCTTCTTTTATCGAACAAATGGCACCAGTGGGAGAACACGTGGAGAAGCAGACAGACCAAGGAGACCAAAAAGCACAGAAAGATTAGTAGATGACGTTGATCGTAACGAGTATTGTGATTTTCGAAGAGAAAGACCAAGAAGAAGAGAGGAGAGGTCTGCTGTCAAGAGCCCTCGTAATGGTGTCGCACCTTGTTACGGAGAAGCAGAGAAACATAGGAGGCCACATAGCGAAGATAAGATGCAAGAATTAACTAACGAGATGTTTTACAAGGTGGTGACGTCTGAACCGAAGAAGGAACAACGTGTGGAGAAGAGGAAGGACAGGCATGGAAGAAGACCACATTCCGCGCCTGTTCTGGATATTGATCATCCGGCTGAGGAGAATAGGAAGTGTAGTCATAGGAATAGGAGACCAGCACCTCCACCTCCAGCTTATCAGGATCCTGCGGTGGCTCCGCTGCCAAAGTACAGGCCTCCGCCTCCGGTAACCACAACGAGCGTCCTGGGGGTGGAGAATAATAATAAAATTATTCTGAAGGTAGTATCTCTTACGTTCTTCTTTGATAATTCTCTATATAAAATCTTCATACGTGAAAATTCCTTCTCCATAATTACAGGTAGATCCCATAAAGTCTCCCATGGAGGCGCCAGCAACGAATGGAACAACACCATCCGACACCTCCAGCGCGGTCCCAGCGCCAAGCGTGAAAAGACTGAGATGTGCGAGTGTGCCAGTGGCGCAGAACAAAGTTGTGGTACCACGAAGCGCAGTGTCGTTACCTTGCATGCCCATACGCGACAGCAAGGACAGCCTTAGCAACAATCTTCCCGTCATTCCGAATCCTCTCAGCCCACCGTCCAGCAGACCGAGTAGCCCAACGATGAGCTCCAGTTCCAGTAACCTTACGTCCGAGTGTTCCGGATGGGTCAGCAGCGGGGACACGTCTAGCTCCGAGCAGCGTCGAAACGCGAAGCTATCGAGCGAGCAGCTTCGTCAAAAATTGTCAAAAATCGTACCAAGAAAAGAAAGACCCACTCCGACGAAAGAAAGCGTAGAAGAGCATTCGTACGAAGAAGTACGACTTCCGCCTCCAAAAATGTTCCAGGACGAACCACCGCCTCCAGAGGAATTTCGTGATCCGCCTGCTATCATCGATAATCCTTTGTATCACGTTTACGAGACGGTGAAACCAGTTAGAAGTCCTAAACAGACAAAGACTGCGCCATGTAGTCCTCAGAAGAATAGAGATAGGGAGAGGGAGAGAGATAGAGATCTTGCATATGGAGCTAGGGATATTTGTTTAGATTGTTATCAAGAGGGCAAGGAACTGTTACAATCGATTCAGGATGAGTCGATTAATTTTAAAAAATGCAAGGAAGCGTTCAAGAGGCAGATGAGCTTCTCAGGGAAGATTTACAGGTGCGTTGATGATTATACAGGGTTTCTTGTGAGATTTGATTTCGCTGGTTTGGTGGGGTCGAAGCTTTTCGTTTGATAATAAGATTGTTGGCTGATTAAATACAATGGATGAACGATGGTTTGATATCATTCATGCATTGTGTTGTTAAATTAACAACAGCTCTAAAGATGATTAATTATTCCTGTCATTTATGACGGTTTGTTTAACTGTATCGTACTGATCAGATGAAACACGAGGCACTAAATGCAATATGCGTGTGATTAATTAATTTTGAAAGTTTGGAGTAAAGTGTTTGTTTGAATAGCCTTCTAACGCTTTACCAGATTATAATTCATTTAGCTGAGGATTTAGTGGCGTACATTAAATATTTTTACTTCAACACTGATTAGTTATATAATTTAGCTACCAAGTCCCTTTGGCCTTCACATAGTCCCTTCGTTATAACACGTATAATTTCACAGCGAAAATTATGATTTCCTGTATTTGGTTGTTCGAAAAGTTCGTAATATTTAGGGAAAATTTAAAGCTAATATATTTCTACAAAACGAATATTTTCTTTAACTTTTAAGTTTCCTAATGATCAGAATAAGCGACCATTGAATATATCAGTTAAAACAATACTTTTGCTTTGCGTTTGAGAAAAATGATATTTTACTCAGTACACAAGATTTTAAAGACGTGTTTTTTAACTTTCTACAACAATAGACGTCTTACCATTTAATTTAGAAATTTTAGATGATACCTGGTACCAGATGTTTGAAAGATATTAGAAGTTTTGATTTAAACACGTCCTATTAAATAATTATTTTTTTTTACAATTCACCAATGTTTTCTCTTTACGCGTTGCAGTTGATATCTAATTTTCATCAAACTCAATATCTTATCGATTACCAGAAATTCATAATAAACCATCTTCTCTGAATCTCATAACAAACAGCGTCCACCTAATCTCATCTTAACAATCTCGCAAGAAAATATTTCTAACTATTAAAAACGCTACGAACTTTCCAAACAGCTGAATAACTCCAAGCCAAACTTTAATATCGTGCAATTATTTTCGCCTATTTTTCTTTCTCGCCTTTGTTCGCAAGCATCCGTGCCATTTTCTATCTGCCTTTTTGAGTTCGGCGATTCGGCTTTCTTCTGTCACTTTGTGTTTTTTCATAGTTAAGTTTCTCTTTGTCTACCTTATCCTCTCTAGAGAACACAAGGAAGCGCAGTTGCGTTTCCATAAACGTGCCCATTCCTTTGGATACGGTGACTTCCTGACCCCGTCGTCGGTAAAACCTCTAAGATCGAATGTGCCTCTTAGTGATTATCCGACCCTGGCCTCGACCATGCCGTACTTCCACATCAGCAACGAGTATCGGCTGTTCTCGCCGGAAGGAGCTCATCTGATTATCTGCGTGCACGGTCTCGATGGCAACCCCGCTGATCTTCGCTTGGTCAAGACGTACTTGGAACTGAGTCTTCCCGGAGCGCATCTAGATTTCTTAATGTCTGAGAGAAATCAAGTGAGATTTGTTTCATTATATTTTATTAGGAGGACAGAATTTTTCTCAGTTCGATTTATATAAGTAATAGAAGTATTTATTTACTATGAATGTTTCTTTTTTAATTTATTAGATTGCAAGATATATTTCCTAGTGATTCTGATTGGAAATTAGCTTTGCATGTTATTTTTTTGTGAATACGAGGAGATCGGTCTTTTGTATTTCTTTTTCATCGAACAACCATCAATTAATTTTGTTTTTCATGGCTCAACTAATTTTTGTATAACGTTGATGACAGTCGAAATAACTTAACTGTAACTTTGGAAATTGTATTTCCGAATGAAATCGGTCGGTGTAAATGGCATCGAGGAAAGCAGAAAAATTCTATAGTTAAATATTATATAAAATTATATAAAATTAAATATAAAATTATAAAATATTTGAGATACATACACATTCGTGTGAGATTCAGTTTGAAGTAGAATCGCCATAGATTTGATATCTCAAAGCAAGTCTAAATTAGAACCAAAAACGACTAGAAACGAGAGTGAAAAAGATTGTCTATTCGAAAGTAAGTAACGAACGTTTGTTAATAAATTGCATATTTCTATGTTGCATGAAAAGGGTGACACATTTTCGGATTTCGATACAATGACGGATCGACTGGTAGCCGAGATTCTGCATCACATCGAGACGTCGGGCCTGAACCCGACGAAAGTCAGCTTTATTGGACATTCTTTAGGGACCATCATCATAAGAAGCGCTCTGACGCGGCCTCAATTACGGCCGCTTCTTCCACGTTTACACACGTTTCTCAGCCTAAGCGGTCCACACTTAGGTACACTGTATAACACCAGTGGATTAGTTAACGCAGGTAATGTCAGAAAATAATTCGTCTTCTCTGGTCGTTGAAAACGAAATTTTAGCGATCTTGTAAAAATCTGAAAATACAAATTCCAACACATAAAAAGTTTGTAACAATTCTAAACTAGATGATTCTAAGAACGAAAGAACTTGTTTATTTTAAAATCGTAAATTCCTAAGACTTGAAACTGTTCTTTCCAAAATAAAACTATGTCCTCAGGTATGTGGTTCATGCAGAAGCTGAAGAAATCCGTCTCGTTGCTGCAACTGGCTATGAAAGATGCGCCGAATGTTAGACGGTCGTTCATGTTCCGCCTCAGTCAGAAGAGCAATCTCGAGAAATTCAAACACGTGCTGCTGTGCGGGAGCGCGCAGGATCGATACGTGCCGCTTCATTCCGCTCGTATAGAACTCTGCAAAGCCGCCGTACGGGATTCGACCGATCAAGGTAATCGAACTCCATTTATTTTTTCATTTATCTCTGGTAATACGACTTTATCGAACGAGCAATCTTGGGAATAAGAGACTTCCATCAGGAGATCCTAAAAGGCTATCTTTTTCTTCTTTTTTTTTTTTTTACCAAAGAGTTCCACTTTCTTACGAAAGAAAAGAGTTTATTGGCTTTATGCCGAGAAGCTATATATTATAATTGTAGTGTTCCAAATTTGGCATCCTCTACGCTACAATGGAACGTGATTTGTTACTTTTAAGAACAGTAAGAGTAGGACTTCACGACAGTTTTGTAATAAAATACTTGGAAAATAAAGATAGCGATTGTCGAGGTTGACTGATAGAAGAACGAGTGGATGAATTTGTAATAGAAAAATATATTGAAATAAGTATACGCATAAGTATTAGTGTATGTTGATCCAGATCCTCACTTTTACAGTGTTACAATACAACAGAAGAAGCTATGATAGGGAGCACGTTTATATATTTATAGCAAAGGACATTACCAAAATATTGATCTTGTAGCTGTAGCTGAAGGTTGCAAGAAACAGCAATAGAAATCTACTTATAGCTCTTTTGTTTCTAGATCTTGTAACCAAAAACAAAATTTATATTCAAAGGTACACTAATATTGGCCTCTCCTTATTTCAATTTGTACAATTTGTACTGAATGTTAACTGGGTTTCTAATACTTATATACTAGGTGTATATAATTTGATAGAATAATAACAGAATATTATGTTGAGTAGAAGACCCTAATTGTGAAATATCAGGTGCGTCGTAATCGAATAAAATAAATTAAAACAATGTGATCTTGCAGGTGCAGCATATCGTGAGATGGTGCACAACATCCTGTACCCGGTGATGTCCTCGTCAGGAGTAAGTTTAGTGAGGTACGACGTGCACCACGCGTTACCTGCGACGGCAAACGCTCTGATTGGCCGAGCCGCGCACATCGCCGTCCTCGATTCCGAGCTTTTCATCGAGAAGTTCCTGCTGGTGGCTGGTCTGAAATACTTCAGATAAGGAACGGACTGCCTAGCGACTTAAATAACGAACCGTTAAAGGAACAAGATAAAAAAAATGAAGAGAAACTAGTCTAATACTAGCGAATTAACTAGCAACAGGGAGAGATGAACATAAAAAAAGAAAAAAGAAGAATAAAGTCGAGAGCGGATTCTCGTAACTCTCCGTGTCGTCTTCGATCGCATTAGGAATAATTAGCGCGTCCTGCTCGATAATTGCCCCGCTTCTAAACTAAAATACCTTCGCCTCTTTTTTCAACGCTTGCTCCGTTTCTCTTCTTCCAAACGATGGAAAATCGGTCGTTCGATCGATCAGAAGCGGGGCAATTCCAACGTTTTTACACACAAGTGGCCACATCGTTCGGACATGTTTTAATATAAGAACGTCGTCGATCAGTTTCTCTCGTTAGGTTCCTAAGTGTCATTCCATCGTGGCGCCATTCGAAGCGCGTCCCTCGCCCTCCATTTCGACGATTCATCGAGCCATCGAACGATTGTAACGTATTGTAACGAATGGACCTATGTCTGCGCGAAGAATGGGCCTACGTGAATGCTTGTTTCCGCAGCTGGCTCTTCTCTCAATGGAAGAAAATCACGAAACGAGTAGCTTGAGATTGGTTTAGGGTGGTTTCATGGTCAATCGTGTTGGATGTGTTCACTGTTATCTGAGACGAGTACGCGGGAGCATTTAGAAAAAATAGAGGACAAAACGTAGGATGATAGAGTGGGAATTTCATGGAAGATTATGTAGAAATGGCGGAGTTTTTATTATTGACGTGCTACGTTACGTGTACTTTTACTCCTCTGTAAGCAAACCGAGTTATCAACGATTCCAAATGTCATGAATTATTTAATTTCTATCGGGAGATCTTTTAACTTAACGTATGATTGTACAGTGCAATGTGCAGAGATGCAAAAACGTTTAGTGACGCCTACTAAAAGGAATACTGGGAATATAGTAATTTTCAACAAAGGATTCGATAAGAATTTCGATTAATAATAACATAAATTTATGTGCCAATAATCTTCTCACTTACTTGTCGTCTGACAAGAATCGTAGAATTGTTTCAGATTTATCGAAGATCTGTAATCATAAAGAAATTAGACTTGAAAATAATCTTACTTATATCGTCTGTAAGTTCTATGGATGAACGTGTTTGCCTACGGAGGATTAATGATGACAAGATCAAATCTTCTGATAATGAAATGGAATACTGGTGGAAAATGATTTATACAGGATATAGTAAATGAAATATTTGGTCAGTGATTTAACTTGAATTAAATGGGAATTGATGTACAATATCTAAATAGAAACTGGAATTGAAACTTCCTTTTTATGATGATAATTGTGATATATAGATGAATACTACTCTATAATAATGGTGCTCTGCTTCTTATCTATATCGTTGTTAGTCTGTATTCCATTAATTTATCTATCGAGATAGAATCTCTTTATTAACACTTCTGTAACAAGCATTCCATTTTGTTAATTCAGAGCTAAGATAATTTTTCAAGTTTCATTTGCTACTACGCATACACATGCATATGTATACGTTGTCTATTCAGAACATCTTTCTTGAAAACAGCGCAACAATATTTCTCTATACAGATGTCAATAATTCAACGTATATTACGGTAAGTTAAATCACTGGTTATAAGTCACCGATTAATACTAATGAACATTTACGTAAAATTACGGCAAACCATCCTAAAGCAATTTAAATATCCAATTTAAATACCAATTTAAATATCGAGTTTTCGGCCTATCGCAAAACCCGATGCTGTCGAGTAATTCCCAGGGTAGAAAAGAGGAATAGAAAAACGGGAAACGTATAATCAATTCATTAAAAGATAATCGGGACACGAATAAAGGATCGTTCGAACGATCCTCATCGACATCTATCATCGTCATCGACATCGATATCGCGTCATCGATTCCAACCGGAAAATCCGTTTTAACATCACTGCGAAAAAAAAGCAAGAAAAGAATCTCTCGTTAACAAAATAATTAAACGAGAAAGGACAAAATCGTGAACTCGCCTTTTTTTCCCGCTTCTTTTTAAGACTCGAGAGAACACAGCGACGCATCGCATGACGGGTTTCACCGTGGCTCCTTTTAACGTAGCCCGGTGTCGAAAAAACAAAAAGAAAAAAAATGGAAAAATCTAAAAGAAACGCAAAAAAATATACGATGTATATTATAGAAAACGAAAAAACAAATTAAGACAATGCAGGGACACATTGTCTAGACGCTAGGAAAGTTACGAAACGCATGTCAATTGTTACTCTCAGATAAGTGTGAGTGCGTGTGGTGTGCGGAGGATGGATGAGACGCGTAAAGTATGAAAGCAAGAGAGAGAGAGAGAGAGAGTGAGAGTATCTTAATTTAAAAAGAAAACAAAAACGAAACACAGAAAATAAAATACTAAGAAAATGGCAAACATTGCGGGAAGAGGCAAGAAAAGAAGATGTAGGGATACAAGGTACGACGAGGAATCTCGAAATGATCGTTACGTCGAAGCGATTTACAGATACAAGATTTCAAATGTTTTTTACGTTCGAATGGTGATAGTGAAACGATGATAGTGAAACGACGATAGTGAAAATTAACGGACAGAAGCAAGACGAGCAAGAGGAATAGTAGAGGAATAAAAACACGAGGAGAACGAGACAAGTGACTAAACATTTTCAGGTATATGAAATCCCTCCAATACTAGATCTCAATTGCTCAGAACAATCTAAGTAAAGATGTTATACATTTAATCGTAAAATCGAAGCAACGAAGACGCGCGGCTGTGTCGCGTCTCCTAATTGCTAATCGTGAATGTTATCGAAAGAATGGTACGTGTGCAATTTTGACGTTTTCCAAGATAGAAGAAGAGGGAGGAGGTCATGAGTCGATGAGATACGCCGCGCTACGCCGATACGATTATGGCAATTTAATTTTTTCACGCGACTGGATGAAAGTTATTTCGTGAATTATATTGGAAGCATTTAATCTGTTGCTCTCTTTTACGAAGTGCGCTTGAATACTTTGATTAACGTGTTTGTCGATAATTGAGTTTATTTATTTAATTTTTCTGCGAATTGTCGTTCAAGGTAACGTTTTTCATTGATTATATTTTTTTAAATTTTAAGCTTTTACTTATACCAAGTAACGCGATTATCGACGTATTTGTTAAATATAAATCTAATAATTCGTCTATAATTTACATCGATTATACTATATATATATATCCATTACACACTTTACAAGTATTTGATTTAGTTAATAATTTTAATCAAAATTCAAATAAATTCTAACGTACAATTAAAATCTGGACACGTTGAAAACAATTTACAGAGCATTATTTGTAAACAATTTTTACATGATTTTCTATGCATGTAGTAAAGGAAAATTGCAATGTCGTACGGCGATTCTTCTTGTAATATCGTTAAGTGTAAACCCACTGCGCCCAATATAAACGTTTACCCATGAGATTGTCGTGTAAGCCGTTTACATCGTAAAGAAAATAAAAAAAAAAAAAAGAAAGAAAAATGTTGCGCGTACTCGCGAAAAATCGTGTAACGTTGTACACGTCCCGCGTCGCGCGATGTGTTGCTATACGGTTCATCGGAATTCTAGAACGAGTACTGCTTCTTCAGGACCACAGTATCTTCGTACTCGTCTTCGTTCGTCCGAGTCTCACACTCGTAACAGCTGTCAAGCACAAAAAAGTTTTTAGAATTTTTCCTGTCCATCCATAAGGTCACATCGTTTTCCTTCATTTTTCTTTTTACGCATTACGCTCTGTCGTTACTTACGATCGTCGGATTATCGAGCGTGCGTTAGGAGTGAAGAGAAAGCATTTGCATTTGAGAAGTCAGAGAATGGTTGTTTTTCTATTCTTTTAATTCAAATCGATGTCCCATTTGATATCAAAATATAGATTCAATTTTACTACTCTAGATGATACGTATTTGTCTTAATACTTCGTAAGGTGTTCATGCGGTTATTAAATTATTAACCAACATGGTTTTTCTAAATGACAAGTGTACAGTTGAACTTAGAAAGGAACCAAATTGATTTGTTACAAGGCAACTTTTCTCTCTTCGCTTCTTCTCCACTCGCGCGACCCCGTTGAACTCTCAGCCGTTGTTCGTCGCACACTCGCACGTATATCCTTTTTCTAATCTCTTTGTAATATCTCGAACGTGTCATCGCACGAACGATCGTTCTTCGACGCGATCTCGTTTCTTGCGTCCTTGCAACGCATCTTTTCGGCGTCGTGTTTTCGATATATCGTGCCACTTCGAATTTCTTCCTCGATCGAAGAAATTCTTCGAGTTTACGCGAGAAGAGAATAAAGAGGTGTGCCACCTGAAGAACGACGAAACACGCGTTCTACCCCGTTTGTCGATCGATAGGAAGAGCGAATGGTTACGAACTCGGCACAAAGCGATAGAAAGATTCGACGAAGCTGAATAGTGCGAAGAGTTCGAATGCGATTCTGGTCGAAGGAATTTTCAGTGCTGTCCTATTGTTTGCTCAATTGTACGTCGTTGTGTCTAATTGTACGTTTAACGCGCGTTCTAGTTAATCTCCAATCGATTTTGTACTCTTAACCCACGCCCCCGTAATGTTAAGTTTTTACCGATTTTACCGTTTCTACCACGCAATTTCTTGGCTCGTCCATCGTAAAGATTAACGAAATGGGAAGATATTCAAAGATCATTGGAACTCAGATATGCCTGTTACTAATAAAATTTTTAGCTGCCATTATATTCGAGCCATTTTGATACTGCAAGTATCGGAGTCTTTCTTTTTATACGATAAACGTGAAAGCAGATTGAATTTATGTTACGATTCAATACGCTTTCGAAGATTTAAATCTCAGAAAGATAATTAAGTTTTAAAAATAAGTAATAAATTACTTTGGTAAACGTCGTAAAAGAATATTCAGGCATATCTATGTTAATTGATGAGCATAATGGAAGAACAAAGTAAAAATTCATTTTTCTTGATAGAAGAAAAAAGGAGAGGAAGAGTAATGCTAAACAAATTCTTGAAATTCCTTTTCACAGTTACGATGTGAATTCGATAGAATTCGATGATGTAAATCAATGAAAAAATAATTATAAATGCCATGTCGCGTTAATGAAACTTTGCTCCTTAATGGATTAAAAAATTCTCTTTGTCCCCTGTAGGGGCGTTGATCTTTTATCTTTCGCTGTGGTCGCCGAGTCATCGGTTTTTCATCTTTTTGTATTCGTTTTTTAGCGACGTGATTTCGGCCAAACGCGAACGAAGAATGGGTTCTTTCGAAGCGAAAACGAATCGCGAACGTTCGTTAGAGCAGATTGAGAAAAGAGAGAAGAAATAAAGGAGAATGAAAGAAGTACGCGACTTGGATGGAAAACGGTATTTTCCAGGCGACCGATCGCGATTCTTCTTCTCTGGATATTGCACGATCGTTGGAATCGTTTCGATAGATCTCGTCGCTGTATTCGTTGGACGAGAACAATCGTAAACAGCAGCGTCGTAATCGAAACGATATATTCGAGTGTCGCTGGAATGCGAAACGATCGTCGATCGAATGGTTCACTGCGGAAGGAGGGGAGGTGAATAAAAAACAATAGAGAAAAGAGAGGAGGGTAGAAGGAGATAAAGGGAGGGGAACTAAATCGATGAAGAACGTTTGTAGTTGCGGTAACGCAATGTCAATGAACAAGTAACAACAATGTATACACTATACATAATATATGAATGCATATGAAAAGTGAATAAATCTACGTATACAAAAATGAGATAGATTAATAAAAAAAAAAAAGATTCAGTGTCTTATTGTCATTTTTGCCGATTCTATAGTTTGATCCTTTTATTCTATATCGTTCCACGTTGTTTTACAATGAATTTTGTCTTTACGTTCTCACCGGAATTACCTGAATTTAAATCATCCTATGGATCTATAGATCGAACATTGAATATTATTTTATAAATTTTTAATTCGTTTAGCAATGTTGTTAGTTGAGTCGCGATGTGATCATCCCATGTCCAATAATGTCGAATCATATCCCTGATAGATTATGGTCGACCTAGCGAATGCAACAACTTGGATATTTCGGTACATTACAACGTGTAACATGTCGATAATTCTCATATTATTCGCGTTAATCTATAAAAGACAGAAAAATAAAACAGTTCCGTAATTGGTATATTTTTATTCGATTAAAATAACAGATGAAGGCGTATCAGGATCTCGACCAAAAAGAATGTGCTACGTTAAGATACACATGCAGGGACAGGGAAAACGTGCGCATAGAAAAATAACAATTTTGACTAATTATTCAAAAAAAAAAAAAAAAGAAAGAAAGGAAAAAAAGGGAAGAAAAAGATTCTGATAAACGTGTGAAACAACCAGCTATGCAGGTGTATCTTCGTGAGAATCGTATTCTGAACGAGAGAAAAGATATTTAAAGCCGTAATAAAATACATAAATTAGTCGCTATTACGCAAATCGATAAAATCCGTAGGTCCTTGCGGACTGGAAACTCGATAAAAATTTCGCGTGGCGATCTTCTACAAAAAAAAAAAGAAAAAAGATAGCGTAGCAGAAAAAATAATACCCTCTACAAAATAGCGATTTTCGATAAAAATTGGAAGACCTAATCGCAATTAAAACCTGCGTAAACGTTTTACGCGAAAATTTACTTTGTAAAACGAGGTATAAAAAAAAGAGAGGATCAACTTGAAACATTCTAAATACCTACCATGTTCTTTGTTCTAAACGCCTGGTTCTGGCTACTAATTTTCTTTTTAATTACTTTACTTCTCTAAATTCATCTTCCGCAAAACATTCACAAATAATTGAGAATCTTGTACCACCATGCATTTACATTCTTATTTCTTTATATTTTGATAGAATGTAAAAAAATGTCATTTATTAATCTATTTTGTGATATACCGTGCATAATTTGTCATTTTTGCACGATTTTCTCCATATCGTTTGCAACAAGATGGTGCGACAAAAATCTCACGTATTCGTGTAACAAACATTCCCCAAACGAAGTATCTCTTTTTTCACGTTTTTAAACTTTAGAAAATCTAATTTGGTGTATAGTGTTCTTTGAATTATCCTAGATAATTGCCGACACTTTCAGCCATCTCGTTCATAGGGCTGACATCCCTTTGAACGTGTTCATCGAAGTTTGCTGTTTCCTCCTCTTCGGTGGGGATGTCTGCGTTCGTTTCTACAGCACCCTCTCCGCCCTGGATAGTTTTTTGTTGGTTTTCCGACGAGGCTTGACCTAGAAAAGGTAAATTTCTTCCTATACTACTATTAATTTAATTAATCTTGCAATGTATAACGTATATCAATTTTTCATTTCTTCGTCATCCTATATCAATAATCTTCGTCGTTTCATACCTTAACGCAAAACTTAATAATTTTATAATATTAACATTATCGATGACAAAACGACGACAGACAGATTCACGATCATCCTTCGAAAAAAGTGTATCTGTCTTAAAATATTTTTCAAGTTAATCTAACGAAGTCGACCAACAGAAGTAAGAAGTTAAAGAGATAAAACGAATCGATAAAAGTTTGATTTATTCGAAGGTCAATTAATGATAAAGATTGATAACCTTGACCAAGATCTCGCGCTTTGCCATGATACGAGTACTCGCGCGCATTGTCAAGGCCAGCGATAACGCACGCACTCAAGGCACTTCGATTCAAATTCATCGGCGACGCGTCATACCATTCGTTGCTGTCTCCGTCGTAACATTCCGCGTATGCAATCGTCGTGGAACCTTTCAAACAAAAGACATATTCGCATAAAATAGGTAGATCATGTCGGAATTAGATTTTGACGAAAGTAATTCACGAATGCTTAAGACTGCCTAATAATAACGTTACAGGTTCCCTTAACGAGATTTAACAAGAAAGAGAAGTAAATAAATAAAAGACTTTTATTATCAGTATACGATTTTTATAATTTATAGATTAACAATTTTATATATTTTTGAGTGTTCATAAACCTACATCTTTATATATCATACAACGATAATATTATACAAATTCGAAGAATTATGTATTTGATATAAATTACCATTGAAACCACCGACGACGAATATCATGTCGTCCAGGATGACCGTGGCGAAATTACTGCGGGGGCTGAACATCTCTGGAACCGCGTGCCAATCCTCCGAATGATTCGGATTGTAACGCTCCCCTGCAAGATCGAGAGGGTCGATATTGTAACAGGAACATTAATTCCTATGCGGCGTCAGATTTCTGCGCAGTGGGTTGCCACTAGACAGCAAATTTCTACCGACTATTCTAAGAATTTAGCAGTTTGTTATAAACAGAAATTCTTTAACGAACAAACAGTTGCGAGAATAATATTTCTCGTCTGACGAAGCTACGTAATTCCAACTTTACGTAATAGGGAATCGAACGAGATTTAAACATTTCGTGCATTGAATTTTACGTGGCAGAAAATTTAATGCAATTAAGGAGAATTCGTTCATTGAACGATCTTCTGCAACATCGAGTCGCATGCTTGCTTTGAAGCTTTTACGTGTTTAAAAGAATTTTCATCGGAGGACAAAATCGTTTAAAATGCTTCATGTCGCGTTCGATACTTTAAATTGTTACGATCTTGTTAAAAGTATTGCAAATTGTACGATTACAACCCTGTAAAAATATCTTTTTCGTTTGAAAGAAACAGATAAAATCAAAAAGATCAAGTGACTGAAGTCGGTGAATAAACTAGTGAAGCATAAACGAGTCGTATGAATTTGAGATAAGTTTAAGATTTCATCGATTAAAAATTGATAAGATTACCAGAGCTAAGTCTAATGAAACCGTTGAAGCCACCCAAGGCATAAAGGCTGTCACGAAACGCGACCAAAGACACGCCCGATCGCGGATTGATCATCGGATGGATGTAACTCCATTGATTAGTCTCGACGTCGAACACTTCCGCGGAATTCAGAACTTCGCGACCACTGAAACCGCCTACGATGTAGATCTTGTTCTGTAAGGCTGCTGCGCTCGCGTCCGATCTCTGTCGATGCATCGGTGGTATCATTTCCCATTGATTCCTTTGCGGTTCGTATCTTTCCCCTGAGCTCATTCTGGTGCGGCCATTGTAACCACCGAGAGCATATATCTTTCCACCTAATGGAGAATGAGTCATATCGTATAGGGTGATTTTAACGTTGAAACATTCATCTTTTGGTGAATATTGGGGATCGTCAAAATCGATATTACAAAAGGATGGTTTGCAATTGACCAAAGGATCCTTAAGGAAGACCGAAAGCTTTTCATTCGAATTGATTTCTGTTACAAAAATAATAATTGGAAATTAGAGTACGCGTATACGATATAATCGCCAAAATTGATATTACAAAAGGGTGGTTTGCAATTGACCAAAGGATCCTTAAGGAAGACCGAAAGCTTTTCATTCGAATTGATTTCTGTTACAAAAATAATAATTGGAAATTAGAGTACGCGTATACGATATAATCATCAAAATTGATATTACAAAAGGGTGGTTTGCAATTGACCAAACGATCGTTAAAGAAAGCTTTTCATTCGACTTGATTTCTGTTACAAAAATATTAATTAGAAATTATAGTACGCGTATACGATATAATCGCCAAAATTGATATTACAAAAGGGCGGTTTGCAATTGACCAAAGGATCGTTAAAGAAAGCTTTTCACTTGACTTGATTTCTCTTACAAAAATAATAATTGGAAATTAGAGTACGCGTATACGATATAATCATCAAAATTGATATTACAAAAGGGTGGTTTGCAATTGACCAAACGATCGTTAAAGAAAGCTTTTCATTCGACTTGATTTCTGTTACAAAAATATTAATTAGAAATTATAGTACGCGTATACGATATAATCGCCAAAATTGATATTACAAAAGGGCGGTTTGCAATTGACCAAAGGATCGTTAAAGAAAGCTTTTCACTTGACTTGATTTCTCTTACAAAAATAATAATTGGAAATTAGAGTACGCGTATACGATATAATCATCAAAATTGATATTACAAAAGGGTGGTTTGCAATTGATCAAAGGATCGTTAAAGAAAGCTTTTCATTCGACTTGATTTCTGTTACAAAAATATTAATTGGAAATTATAATACGCGTATATGATATAATTAGTAATTAGACTACAGATTTTTGTGCAGGTACATTTTTTTATGAGAAAACTGATATTAAAATAAATTCCGTGGAAACGCAACGAAACACGTAAGGAAAAACTTTATGTTCGTGTATCGTACATCGTTGTACAAGGTTCATTGTCCTGAAAAAGTTACGGAAGGGAACGATACCGACCATGAGTGCAAACGCTGACATAACACCTCGCGTGATACATGCAGGCTCGTTCACGCCACTCCCTCGTTACTGGATCGAAGCATCTGACCGTGTTGAAGTGCTGATTACCGTCGAACCCGCCGATCATGTAGATCAAATTGTTCAATGTACACAGGCCGTGATAGGACCTCGGTGTGGCGTCCGTGCTCACTGATAGAAACCATCTGTCAGCTCTGGAGTTCACATTACACGTAGCCTGTGTGAGTCTCGGACCGATCACGATTTTTCGTGCCGCGAAATCGACAACGCGAGGATCGGTTAATTATAAACGTTATAGTTATCTATAAATATCAGAGTAATTGGAATAACCAATCCATATAATATTGAATTTGCAATATTTCGTGGTAATTATTTCCTTCGTCACTTTCCTATACGGCGAAAGGATTGATATTCCGCTTTTTATTTTACTTTATTGCAAGAAAATTCCGTTTATCTAAATTCATGGGAAAAATAGTTCGTCGACAGAGATGTATGTTTAAAAACTTGTGGCTTATTAGTCTATTGTTTTTTTTATTTATCGAATATCCAAATAAATAGAAGCACTCGACAGGAATCGACTAAAATTTCAATCAATGAAAATTCTCTTCGACTAAACCTTCGACTAAATGAAGCTCTACCGTAATGAAAAACCGTGTTTTATGGTCTAAAGAGAGTATGAAGCACCTCGTGTCGTAGGTTTCTACGAAATTTGTTGGGGAACCGGCGCTCCATCCGCCGATCGCGAACAAGATTTCATAGGGAATACGGGGCTTGGCCAGGGGATTCTTTAAATCGATTTCGCCACTACCTAGTTTCGCTTCTTGTTCTTTCAGGTACTGATTAGCGGGAGCTAACACTTGTTGGCAGGACTTAAAAGGACGAGAATGTATTTTAGAATTCACGTTCTCGATGGTCGTTATTAATTTCGTTCTTCTTCACTTGTATCGTTTATTTCCTTTATTTTCGTTCGTTTCGTATATTTTCGAACTCTACGTGTGAAGTTTTGCAACATGGAAATAGATTCTTTTCGTATAAAAATTATTTTTTACCACGGGATACAAGTAATGAAAACTCAATTCGCAGTGAAGGTATTGGAAAGAATAGAAACACATAAATCTGTGTTACGTATTATACTTATGTATAATATAAGATTATATTCAATGGATTTATTTGCGTGAAACTCGTTAAGCGAATGAAAGAAAAGAAGAGAAGTGATTATTGGAGCGAAAAGTAAGAAACGATAATTATAGAAATAACTAGCAGAAAAAATAATAAATTCATTGGTTCGGTAAAAAAAGGAAGGAGAGGTTCCTGTTTCTTTCGAAGTTTAAACGATCGATCGATCGATCGTACAAAGAACACTCACCTCGTCCTCCTCGATGATCTTCCATGTGAGAACATTGTTCGTAAAGAAGTTGTAGCTCATCAAACCGTAGCGCATACATTTCAAGAGCCTAGGCAAATAGGGCCTCCTTTCATCGACGTTATGCTCGATCCAGGTTTTAACGGCCTCGAAAACTATTTCTTCGTTTTTAACGTTCAATTCGTCGTCGCGTAGAATCGCCTCGAGTTCTTTGCTCGTCAGCTCTTTGAATTCCGGGCTCTCCTGCAGTATCCGCTTAAAGTGATGGCGAATATATTTCCGGCCCTTCTCTTCCAGGTCGCGGCAGAAATAGTGGCGAGCGAATTTGAAGATGCCTACCGGTGAAAATTTCAGTAAATTACCGTGAAACGAGAGAAACGCGTCCCTATTAAAATATTCAATGCGGTAGTTTCCGATGGTAGAAGATGTAAGCACGAAAAATGGTATTAACGATGATTTAACTAGCAAACCGTTAATTTTTTTACGTCCATACGATATCTATTTAATAAAATAGAAGGAAAAATATTTGAGCAAATATTTAAATATTAAATTGAAAATACACGTACGATGGTTAATAGAATAAGATAGAAAATTCTTGTTACATATAACTACAAATATTTTCAAGAGTTATTCATTTTAAAGCCATAAATTTATATCGAATATAATATGTAAAAAGGTGAATTTACAAACCTTCGTAGGCACGTAGAAACATTTAATGTTTGGGAGCTTATAGAATATTGTTTATTAGACTTCAAATGTTTAGATGGAACACGTAATGAGTAATTTTTTAATTTATACGTCGTCTATTTTTATATAGTATTGTATAGTATTTCCCAATAGAAAACCAAAAACATTTTGGTAAATTTGAGAAAGTCTTAAGAGCAAGAAACTTTAATCAAAGAATATCTGCGTATGCTTCCGCGCATTAAAAAATTCGTTAAAAAATTCTAGAGAAATCGGTATCTTATTTATCGTTTCCTATATTTATCGTCGATATTATTTTCTATATTATTCCTCGATTAAAATATTTTCGCCTACTAACCCAGACAATTTTCCGGTCGAAGTTCTTGTAAAAGAAACTGACAGCAGATTTGAACAACGCCGAGGACCTCGAACTGGTCAGCCAGTGGCAAAAGCTGCTCGACATTGTCAGCATTTACGTTGCACGTACCGGTGTAAGCATAATCAAGGATCAGACTAAATATTTTTCCAGGAACCGAATCGATCACGACTTCCGTCGTCTCTGTTTTCCCGCCTTTTAGGCTGTTGGTGAAAAGCGCCTTGAAGTAAGGACTGACTGCGGATAAAATGGCGCGATGCACTGGGAAAATGTGGCCCGTGGCACATCGTATTGCACCGTCGCATAATTGCTGGTTTGCTCTGAAATATCGATGCGTATTAATGGAAAAATAAATGGATCAAACGTGAAAAGAAGTTGCAATCGAAACAATAATATCTTCGTAATTGCTAAAAATTGACGAAAATATATAAATACTTGTGACAAACGTTCACTTTTATTAAGATAGAACTGTGTGTATACTTTTCGTTGCTTTTGTTTTCTAGTTATTTTACTGCCTGTTATCTCATTCGCATCGTATAGATAAAAATAGACGTTTTATAACGTAAACGAAGTAGAACATAAAGATTTCCAATAAATGTCGAACCTACACGTTAGTAAATATCCTAAAGTCGTATCACCTTAATTACAACGATCAACGGACATTACATCAAAGTAGAATATGAAACAAAGCTCGATAATTCCACCATTAAATGGCAAAATCAAACAAAACACCCAACGATCCAGCTTCTAAAATCTCATCCTCGATCGAGCACGATTTACGAGTCGATTCTGCTCGCACTCTCGTCCAACTATACTCTGCATCTGTCTAATCGAAACGTCCCATGACAGAGCACGCGAAAAGAATGGAGAGCACACGCTAAGAGAGGGAAAGCTCGAAGTTGACAAACCTAAGCTCGGACCAGACTACGGGGAATTCAACGAGAGCGTAATTGGATGGCAGGCACATGCATTTCCTTATTTTAGTCGGCTGCTTTCTGACGCACTGCTTCAGCTTGGTAGCGGAAACGGCGGCCCGCGACATTCGGCTGCGTGACAGCTTCCTAAGCTTGATCCTTCCGCGGCTGTCCATCGCCTCGCGGACGAGCC